GCGGTTTCCGTTAACATCATCATTCCCCCAGTTGGGTCTGCCGTGTTTAGAAATTTCTCCATACCTCTGAGTAAAAGTGACTCTCTCTCTCTTTGAGTTACTATCAGTGACCTAATCCAACCGTGGCATATAATAGTAAACCACAAAAACAATGGTTGTCAAAAAACTTATCCCAACCAATCCGAAAAGCCAATAGCTTTGAATAGAACCCATCTTCAACAGTGGTGCATCGTCACTCGCCGAGCTCGGTGGACAGTAAGTTCGCCATACATCCGCCAGATTTCGTCTTCCTTTGCAGTCACACGCCGTTACTTCCACTCCATCGGTAGTACTCTTCGTTTCCGAGAGGAACGTGCGAATCCGCTTCATCATATTGCTGTCCACGGCGTCAGTTGGTTTTAGGAAAATGATTGAATTGGAAACGTCATTTTCAAGCGTTACATAACCCTGCAGGGACGCCAGCTTGTACCGTGTCCGTTCCTTTAGTTTAATTGCTTTGCATGGTTTTCCAGGCTCAAATGTGGCTGCTTTTGATTCTCCTCGATTGTACTGAAAATGAAACATTTGGTTAATTCTACACGTTCCATAGATGGAAAATCTATCCGCAAGATCCAATGATGAACCATGGTAGTACAGCTGAGTGCAGGGATAAAAAAATGAACTGTAGAGAGGGTTCGGCCTTTTTAGGTCCATAAGATGGCTGCTGTGGGTAATGTAGACTGCCGTTAGATTCAAAACGGTTGGACTTGGGATCCCAGCAGACATTATCGTTACTGGGAAAAGTAGAAAAAACAACCGGAGGAACAACCGAACTTCAAGGCTTGAACAGGCGAATGTAAAACGTTTCAGTTCTGGTAAAATAAACAGAATGAGAGTAGAGTTAATAATAACAATTAATTTCCACTATCTTTAATGCTTATCCTCAACAGATGGGCGTATTTCGCTGAAAACATGCACTATTTTCCAGTGTGTAGTACTTACACGAAATAGTCCAGTAAATACGCGGAACAGCTGAGGATAAGCAATCGAGGAAGTGTTACTAAAAATAGTAAATACTAACTCTTCTTTCTTTATTTCCGCAGGTTTTCCAGTGTAGGCGTCCACTTTCACAAGGCTACTGGCAAAGCCAGCACGTATATCAAGCGTAAAAATGCACAGAATGATTATTTACCGAGTCAATTATATTACATTTATTACAGCACTATTGTATCACGTTTATTACAGCGGCCGTTGCTTCATTCACTTTGTTAAGAAATTTTGTGGTTTACCCAAAACGTAATAGAGTTTCTTCATAATTATGCACTGCCGGTGGAAGCATAATTGACCCATGTGTATTTGAAACTCCATAGAAAATGGGATAATCATGCGTCCACCGGCAGTATACGATTTGGTAAAAGCAAAAATATAAATAACACTAGGGTTAACTACCCCATTTCCGGCCTATTAAGCACAACCCGCACTTAATCTTTCTTAATCTATCGCAGTTTAGCACCAAACGGAATGTTATTGTTACTGATGGCTTCCAAATTTATTTACCTTTCCGTACATACCGTAAGATTTGATACAGAGAAACAAATTGTTGAGATATTGTTAAAAGTATAACACTGCTTCTTGACGCCAAACTCGGCCTACGGATTCTAAACTCGGCCTAACGCATTGAAACGCCATTGAAACGCCAATGAGTTCACTTCGGCCTATCGGATGAAGAGGAAATTGATTCGGTCGGACCGCTTCTTTTGTTTTTGAGAATTTCGGGTGCAAACGTTCATATCACGCGTTCTCATAGACTTCGTTCGGTAGCTTATTAACTAAAGTATCGTACCAAACGCATAATCTACCTGTGAACGTCGAAAACATGGATTTATTTGATGTTTTCTGCTTGATAGGCCCAAAATGGGCGCTTAGGCCGAAGTAGTTCTCTACCCTACCACCTCCATCAAAAATTTCCAATAACAAGTGCTAATTGTTGTTGCTATTTTTTAGATTTTATTTGCATTTAAAAAAATATATTGCTCTCTTTTTTTAATTTTTTTTATTGCAACCCTTAGATTTTCAATTGGAACCCCTAATAAAAATAACCATAAAATAGAGCTTAACGACGTGGTCGGGGTATCATCCAAACCATTTGTAGGATAGTTTACCCATTTGGGATACAGTTCGTTAATGGTAATTGTTCATTAGGGACACTCAAGACACATAAGAGATGAACTAGCCTTGTTACGATACCACAGGGCAGGCTCATTGGTAGCGAGGTGAGTTCCGTACCACCCAAGATCTGGCAACCAGCAAACGTCAAACGGAGCATAGCCGGTGACATGTCACTCAAACGTCACTTCAGCAAAAAACAACAATGTGATCGTGAAAGTGGAGTAAATTCGAGAGTAAACTAAAAGTCAATAAAATCTAATTTAATTATAAGTAAATCCTACCTAAAGCTTGTTAATCTAGATTTGGTGAGCTATTGTCAAGTGAATGTAATGAAATTATCAACCTAGGTAAAATTATATACATTTATTGCCTATTTACGCGCAAAGAAAATCCTAACCCTAAATTTATTATAGATAACTAGTTCTACTATTAGTACGGCTGGATTTATACCAATTGCTTAATATTACAAACCTAAGAGTAAGTACTTAATTAAACTTATCCTAACATGCGAAATTTGTAAAACCTAATCAATATTTATAAAACCTAGGGCAATTTGTTGCTAGCGATAATTCACGTTCACATAGAGTTTCGGGTTTGAACAGGAAGAACAACACGAAAATGTAAGTGAAAACCTTTATTTAAAATCCATTAAAACTCAAACAAATATATAATTACAGCTTTGAAGCTGCTTATGCTGCTATCAAAACGTGTTTACGTCTGCCCGAAAATCTATCCGAACAATCTTCAAAGATTTTCTGGCGGTTCTAGTCGAACCGAAAAATGAGCGACAGTAATGCAAAACACTGTGCCAAATGCGATCGGCTGGACACAGCAAACCATCTCGTTGGATGCGATATGTGTGAGACGTGGGTGCACTTCGACTGCGCGGGTGTTACGGACTCCATCGCCGATCCGGATCGCACTTGGAAGTGTGATCGATGCCGATCGCTGGAAGATGATGTTGTTTCCCATTCGAGGACGTCCGTCAGTCGCTCGTCTATGAGTAAACGCTCGACCCGAGTAGAGCTAAGCCTGCAGATGATTGAAGAGCAGAAAGCGTTGCGGATGAGGAGAATCCTAGAGGAACAGGCGGCTCAAGCAGTAGCGCGAAACAAGCTAGCCGAAGAGGAGGAGCGGTTTTTGAGGCAGAAGTACGATCTGCTCATGACCGAAGCGGATGATGCGGAAGAAGGAGCCAGTAGGAAATCAAGACTGAGCAGTCGAACTAGTCGAGAGAAGGTTCGATCGTGGCTTAGCAGACAGGAAGACAGCACAGCACAGCAAGTGACAGTAGTGCCCTCCAGTAGCATGAAGTCAACGGTCGTAGCCACAGAAGCAGTTCAACAGTCTACAATTCCAGCTCCCATCACATCAAGTCCGATCACGTCAAACGTTCCCGCCATAGTAACTTCGGATCCAGCGTCAACTTCAACGCCAAATTCAGTGGATGGTTCCAGAAGCGTGAAGCGTTCATTGGCAACGATGGTACCTCAAATTCCGATTCCAGTGAGGTCAGACGGCAGCTTCGTATCACGCACCGAAATCACATTCGACGTTCCCCAACGGCCTCTGGTAAGTTCCTCCTTGCTAACGAGATGCAATTCTACTGTCGGGATCGACACTTCAGCTACGATGGATGGTCCGCGGAAAGTCAACAGTAGTGCTCCGCCTCCGAATATAGAAATTCACCCTATGTCCAGTAGTCATTACCCACGAGTTAATAAAGTACCAATTAGTGGGAGTAGGGCATCGGGATGTGGTGATTATACCGTCACATTTCCCTCAAGTAGTAGGCCAATATTGCAGGATAGCATAGTAATTACAAGCGTACCACAAGTCTCTTCTATAAACTATGGGTGTACGCCAATTGTTAGCTACAATTCCGCATTTCCGACCGCAGTATCAGGGCAGAGTCAACCGTGCGCTACAAGCATTCCGGCACAAAACTATAGTAGTAGCGTCGCCTTTCAAAACGTTGGTACTAATCCAAGAACGTCATTAGTCACCGGGGGTCAAGGGTCATCCCAGAATCCCGTCTCAACAGTACCACTGGTACACTCCCGACCAGTGTTAAGTTCCGGTTGTCAATCAACGTGGATCAATAACAATCTGGCCAGTACGGATGTCGGTGGGATACAATCGGGAAATGTAAGTCACATCCCAGTTCCATCGCAGCGTGAAAGAACGTTTGTCAACAATGGGGGGGGGCCCCAGTAACTTCTAATGGGACGGTGCCACCTGCATACATCGTTGATCCACTTCAGTTCGAGATTCCGGTGACGCAATCAGCGGCGGGCTCAAGAGATTCCCGCATTCCCTGGTTTAGCCAACAACCACCATCTCAACCGCAACATCCACAACATCAGCATCCTGTCGATCCAGCTAGAAGTGGGCCATCTAGTGGACAACTGGCAGCGAGACAGGTGATGCCACGAGAGTTGCCGAACTTTTCAGGAGATCCTCAAGATTGGCCGCTGTTCTATAGCTCGTTTTGTAACTCTACGGAAACATGCGGGTACACTGACTCCGAAAACTTGGCGCGATTGCAGCGCTGTTTGAAGGGGAATGCATTGGAAGCAGTTAAAAGCCGATTGCTGATGCCACAGTCGGTGCCCTCTGTAATTGATATATTACGGAGGTTGTATGGTCGACCGGAAATTCTGATACATTCTCTCCTCCAAAAATTGCGTTCAGTTCCCTCTCCGAAGACCGATAACTTGCAGTCACAGATAACCTTCGGTCTCGCGGTGCAAAACGTTGTGGACCATATGTCTATCGCCAATCTTCATGACCATCTGTGGAATCCGACACTGCTTCATGAGCTAATAGAGAAACTGCCATCTCAGCTCAAAATGCAGTGGTCCTATTACAAGAGCAGATGCGCTTATGTCAACCTGGCGACCTTCAGCGCTTTCATGTCCGAACTAGTGGTGATGGCTTCGGACGTTACGCTTCCAATAGACGGTCTCACCATGAACGCGAGATCCATCAAACCGGGGAAGGAAAAACCGAAGCTGTACGTACACTCCGAGGAAACGAAAACTGGACAAGTAGTGGACTACGACAAGAAGCCGTCAATGGAGCCGATGAAGAAGACCTGCACGTACTGTGCCTGTGCGAATCATGAAATCGTGAACTGCGTACAGTTCAAGGGACTCGATCTGGATGGGAGATGGAAGGCGATCAAACAAAAGAATTTGTGCAGAAACTGTCTCATACCACATCGGAAGTGGCCCTGCCGTTCCAACAAGGAGTGCGGCGTCGATGGATGCAGAGTTCATCATCACAAGCTACTGCATTCAACTAGGAATCCCTCGCAAAACAGAGTGGAAGCAGGAAGCTCGTCGCGGTCTACGAATAACGATGTGCACCAAAATCTCCACTCTTCGGTTGCATACTCTTTGTTCCGATATTTACCCGTGACTATCCATGGTAACGGTCAGCAAATCAACACCTATGCTTTTCTGGATGATGGTTCGTCGTCTACCCTCCTTGAATCCAGTATTGCATCGGCGCTGGGTATCACGGGGCCAACCGACAACTTTTGTTTGAGTTGGACCGGAAAAATTTCGAGGGAGGAGAAAGGGTCTCAACGTGTGACCGTGGTTATTTCTGGCGTTAGAGAGAAGTTCAAACTCAGCAACGTTCGGACAGTGCAAGAGCTTCAACTTCCAAGTCAAACAATGCAGTATGAAGAGTTGCAGCAGACCTACCCGCACCTGAAGGGTCTGCCAGTTCGCAGTTATACGGAAGCTACGCCGGGGATCATTATCGGACTAGAACACGTTCGACTTCTAACTTCGTTGCGAGTACGAGAAGGTAAAGACAACGAACCTGTGGCGACGAAGACGCGCCTCGGATGGTGCATTTTCGGAAAGAACTCCGGCAATGATTCCGTGCTGGAACAATTGAATCTGCACCTTGATGGTGATCCCGATAATCGAGAACTACATCTGTGGATGAAGCAATTCTTCGCAGTCGAAGAGTCCAGCGTCACCATAAAACCGGAAGCTGAAGAAGATAAGCGAGCGCGGAAGATAATGGAAGCTACGACCCGAAGGGTGAATGGCGTTTTCGAGACGGGACTTTTATGGAAGTACGATCACATCTGCTTCCCTGATAGCTACCCAATGGCGCTACGTCGGCTGAACGCACTGGACAAGCGATTGCGAAAGGACCCAATCCTCGAAGCGAAGGTGAGGGAGCAGATTGCAGAGTATGAAGCGAAAGGGTATGCACATCGTATCACGGCAGACGAGCTGCAGTCTACGGATCCCAGCAAGGTCTGGTATCTACCTCTGGGTATTGTGCAGAACCCGAAGAAACCGGCCAAGTTACGGCTGATCTGGGATGCCAAGGCTCGAGCTGGAGGAGTGTCTTTCAACGATATGTTGATGAAGGGTCCGGATCTTTTGGTGGCGCTGGTAGCAGTACTGTTGCGTTTCAGGCAGAGGGACATTGCTATCGTCGGTGACATAAAGGAGATGTTTCACCAGCTTCGCATCCGGGACGAAGACAAACAATCACAGCGTTTCCTTTTCTGCCTTGAACCAGGATCGAATCCACAGATCTACATAATGGATGTCGCCACTTTCGGTGCGACCTGCTCGCCTAGTCTGGCACAGTTCGTGAAGAACGTGAACGCGAAGGAATTTGCCGAGACATTTCCCAGGGCGGTGAATGCAATAATTCATAACCACTACGTTGACGATTTCTTGGATAGTGTAGACACGGAAGAGGAAGCTGTGGCGTTGATCAACGAGGTGAAATACATCCACTCTCAAGCAGGGTTTGAAATCCGAAACTTCTGCTCCAATTCGGCCGAAGTACTGGCAAGCATCGGGGAATGCAGAACACCACAGGAAGTATCCATGAACTTGGAGAAATCGACAGACTCGGAGCGTATACTGGGTCTGGTGTGGAGGCCAAAAGAGGACGTCTTCACCTTCGATATGAGCAGTCTCAAGGAAGAGATCAAAACGTTGATTAGCGGCTCAACGGTCCCAACCAAACGGCAGGTTCTGCGCACTGTCATGTCGTTATTTGATCCGCTGGGACTGGTTTCGCATTTCGTCGTGCACGGAAAAATCTTAATGCAGCAGATCTGGAGATCCGGTACCGATTGGGACGAACCTATTCCGGAGGAATTGCAGGATAAGTGGCGGTGTTGGTGTGAGTACATGCAGCGCTTGGAAGAGGTGGCAGTACCGCGATGCTTCTTCAAAGGAGTGAACAGCTCCGCTCTCGAGAACGTCGAGGCACATCTATTCGTAGATGCGAGCGAAGTGGCTTGCGCAGCAGTTTTGTATCTTCGCTTCGTGGACAACGGTTCTCCTCGATGCGCGCTGGTGGCGGCTAAAACAAAAGTTGCTCCGCTGAAACCCCTTTCCGTGCCACGTCTGGAGCTACAAGCGGCGATGATTGGAACAAGACTTCTCGACTCAGTGTTGACTTCGCTGGATATCCAGGTTAACAAGCGCTTCCTTTGGTCGGATTCATCAACTGTCCTGTGTTGGTTACGATCCGATAGTCGACGGTATCACCAATTTGTGGCCTTTCGAGTGGGAGAGATTCTTACATCTACTAGCGCGGATGAGTGGCACCACGTGCCTTCCAAACTGAACATTGCTGACGCGGCCACGAAATGGAAAGACGGACCCGGCTTCGATCCGAAGAACCCTTGGTATAGTGCACCGGAGTTTCTGTATAAGCCAAAGGAGCAGTGGCCAAAGGAACCATCTCAGAAGGAGAAGGAAACGGACATCGAGTTGCGAACTGAATTCTTGTTCCATGGAACCACGCCTCAACCGTTGATCGACGTATCCAGATTCTCGAACTGGAATCGACTCCTGAGGACAACAGCCTACGTTCTACGTGCAGTGCGCAGATTGAGAGGAGACAAGGGGTCCAAACCGGATCTCTTGACTCAGAAGGAGCTGCGTGATGCAGAAAACTTGCTTTGGCGGCAGGTTCAATCGGAAATGTATCCTGACGAGTACGCAATTTTGCGACGTAACCAGACGAATCCCAGCAATCCAGTGTCAATTCCGAAGTCCAGTCAGCTATACCGGCTGTCACCGTTCGTAGATGAGAGCGGCGTCATTCGGATGAATAGTAGGCTCACCGCGGCGCGAGCCGTCTCGACAGATATGAAGTACCCGATCCTGTTACCGAAGAAGCACGCTGCGGTCCATCTTCTGGTGGAGGACTATCATCGGCGATTCCTGCACGGCAACGGAGAGACTGTTCACAACGAGATGCGTCAACGGTTCTACATACCAGGATTGCGAAACGTGATACGTCAGGTGTCGAAGCAATGTGTGACTTGTCGTGTTAGGAAGGCTGTTCCACAACCACCCATGATGGCGCCCCTACCCGAGGTGAGAGTCACGGGACTAGTTCGTCCATTTACGCATACCGGAGTGGACTATTTCGGACCGATACAGGTCAAGCAAGGACGCAGTTTGGTGAAGAGGTGGGTGGCACTATTCACGTGCCTCACGGTTCGTGCCATACACGTGGAGTTGGTGCATAGTCTGTCAACTCAGTCCTGCATCATGGCGATAAGGCGATTCGTGGCTCGTCGAGGTTCCCCGGAGTCCTTCCACAGTGACAACGGAACAAACTTCCTGGGGGCCAGCAACATGTTGACCAAGGAGATCCAGGATATCAACGAAGACTGCGCGGTGACGTTTACAAATTCTACGACCAGCTGGGAGTTCAACCCACCATCGGCGCCCCATATGGGCGGATCGTGGGAGCGCATGGTGCGCTCAATGAAGGTAGCGATGTCAGCAATTGCAGATCATCCTCATCACCCTAGCGACGAAGTACTACAGACGGTAGCCATAGAAGCGGAGGCGATCGTAAATTCCAGGCCGCTCACCTACATTCCGCTGGAGTCTACGGAACAAGAGGCTCTAACGCCGAATCATTTCTTGCTGTTCGGTACCAAGGGAGTCGTTCAACCAGCAACTTCGGTGAACTCAGTCGGGAGCAGCTTGAGGGACAGTTGGCGCCTTGCACAGTACCTGGTGGACCAGTTCTGGTGTCGATGGATACGCGAGTACTTGCCCACTATTACGAGACGCACCAAGTGGTTCGAACCAGTCAAGCCTCTAGAACCAGGGGATCTCGTTCTGGTCGTCGACGAAGGCAAGCGGAGCGGTTGGTTAAGAGGACGAATCATGGACGTGACCAAAGCAGCGGATGGACAAGTTCGGCGAGCAGTCGTACAAACCAAAAATGGACTGTTGACCCGACCTGCAGTGAAGTTAGCCCTCCTGGACCTTCAGAAATCTGGACGGTCCGGAACTACACGGGCGGGGGGATGTTACGATACCACAGGGCAGGCTCATTGGTAGCGAGGTGAGTTCCGTACCACCCAAGATCTGGCAACCAGCAAACGTCAAACGGAGCATAGCCGGTGACATGTCACTCAAACGTCACTTCAGCAAAAAACAACAATGTGATCGTGAAAGTGGAGTAAATTCGAGAGTAAACTAAAAGTCAATAAAATCTAATTTAATTATAAGTAAATCCTACCTAAAGCTTGTTAATCTAGATTTGGTGAGCTATTGTCAAGTGAATGTAATGAAATTATCAACCTAGGTAAAATTATATACATTTATTGCCTATTTACGCGCAAAGAAAATCCTAACCCTAAATTTATTATAGATAACTAGTTCTACTATTAGTACGGCTGGATTTATACCAATTGCTTAATATTACAAACCTAAGAGTAAGTACTTAATTAAACTTATCCTAACATGCGAAATTTGTAAAACCTAATCAATATTTATAAAACCTAGGGCAATTTGTTGCTAGCGATAATTCACGTTCACATAGAGTTTCGGGTTTGAACAGGAAGAACAACACGAAAATGTAAGTGAAAACCTTTATTTAAAATCCATTAAAACTCAAACAAATATATAATTACAGCTTTGAAGCTGCTTATGCTGCTATCAAAACGTGTTTACGTCTGCCCGAAAATCTATCCGAACAAGCCTCAGGCTAAAAATCTCTATAATAAAGAAAAAAAAAAAAAAAAAAAAACTCAAGACACACTGTTTTCCGTTGAAAAAATATTTTCTATTCCAACTTTTTAATTTTCAATTGCCACTTTCCAGTAGTCTATTGCTCATTTTCGATAGTGTATTGCTCTCGATTGCTCCTGAGTTTATTATTCTGCCATTTGGTAAATCAGTAACGTACACCTAAAATTAACGAGGTGATTTTTTTAAACATTTCAACCCATTCTCATGAAAAGCATCGGCCGTTGAAACAAACTCCAAATTGAGTAGGATTTCACTCATTTTCGTAAATGGTGTGCGGTTACTAAAGGGTGTCCACGATGAAATTGCCACACACAAAATTGATTCGCAAAATTCGAGTTTTCATCCGATTGCCATCAAATTTTCAGGGATTGAGAAATAACTATTAAACTTCATTTTACCATTTTACTCGTATTTTATTTACAGTCCATACGCAAATGCCCGCACCTTGGCCTTAACCCCGGCCATAAGATTATGCACAACCTGTGAATCAACCGTTTTTTGCATGTAAACCCATACTTTCTTCAGTTCCTCGACTGTCTTCACTACCTTAGGTCGTTTAAGAAGGTGCTGCTTCATAATCGCCCAGTACTTCTCGATGGGGCGGAGCTCCGGAGTGTTGGGAGGGTTGAACATTTTCGGCACGAAATTGACCTTATTGTCCGCATACCACTTCAGCACGTCCTTGGAGTAGTGGCATGAGGCCAAATCCGGCCAGAAGATTGTTGGGACGTTGTGGGCCTTCAGGAGAGGAAGCAGCCGCTTCTGGAGGCACTCTTTTATGTACACCTGTCCGTTCATCGTGTCCTGGGTCACGAAAGGTGCACTCCGCTTCCCGCACGTGCAGATGGCTTGCCAAACCAGGAATTTCTTCGCAAATTTGGACATCTTCTGAGTGCGGACATGCTCCGGAACGCTGAACTTATCCTTGGCCGTGAAAAACAGGTTGCCGGGGATCTGTTTGAAGTCGGCCTTCACATATGTTTCGTCGTCCATGATGCAGCATTCAACTTTCGTCAGCATGTTGAGGTACAACTTCCTGGCACGGGTTTTGGCGGACTTGTTCTGCTTCTCGTCGCGATTAGGGGCCTTTTGTACCTTGAACGTTCGAAGCCCAGCCTTAGTTTTGGCCTTCTGGACAAAACTTCGGCTTAGGTGCAGCTTCTTAGCCACATCCCTAACGGAGGCGTTCGGATTTCGGTTGAAGGCCCCAACTACGCGGTTGTGATTTTTGGTGTTGTACGGAATACTTTTTCCTTCACTTCTGGGCTTCCAATCGGTGGTCAACCGTTCCTCGAACCACTTAATCACTCGCGACACCGTGGAATTCGCGATTCCCAACGTTTTAGCGATGGAACGATGCGAGAGATCCTTGTTCTCGTGATGAATGCGCAAGATTTTATCACGCACGAGCTGTTCTTTCGACTCCATTTCCGCGAGTTTTGATCACAGGACTTTAAAACTTGCAGGATGTAAATAATGCACTATGAACTAAATCCACCCAAATTTTCATTAAATTCTACCCAACGGTTAAAAAGTTAGAGCAATTTCATAGTGTGGCAATTTCATCGTGGACACCCTTCAATCATTTTTAAGTGACGCATACCTATTTTCCGCCATTGATGAGTTAACTTTACTCAATTTTTAGTACGGTTTACTAATTTTTGGCTAGAGACGGTCTAGCATAAGAGAAGAGCGAACTGGCTGGATTTGAGTCTGTCAAAGCTAAAGCCTATCGAGCAGCGCCTATCTTGATTTTAAAGTATATGCCGACCACCACGGCGCTGTAGTCGTAGTGGTGATGAAATTGCATATATTTTCAAGTTTGTGACCTGAAAACAAGTTTTTTTTTTCGTTTTTTCTACAAGTAGAACTGCCTTCTGTGAAAATTTCAGTGAGTTGTTTGATTTCAAAAAATTGTTATAGATTTATTCCACAACAAAGGTAAAACGAGGAAATCAATTTATCGCTAACAACAAACGTCAGATTGGCCTGATTTTTTTTACAAGTAGAAGTTATTATAAACTGCCTTCTGTGAAAATTTCAGCTTTATGAGTTGTGCCGTTGATTTTTGAAAAATAGTGATAGAATTATTCCACGAAAGTAAAACAGGCAAATCGCTCTATCTCTAACAGCAACCGTCAGATTGGCATGACATTTTTCCTACAAGTAGAGGTTATTGCAAACTTAACCATAATGGAGTAGTAACTACAACGCACACAGAAAAAAAAACAAACAAAAAGTTCAGATTCCCTAACACAGACATCAGATTTCAGGTGTTAAGACTCATTGACGTGTCTCATGGGGAAGCCTTAGTAGCCAGGCTTCTCCTTTAAATTACCTCGTTTCCACGCCGAATGTTTTTTTTTCGATTCTTAACCCAATCACCCCGTTTGCAAGCAGGTTGAACGTTACTATTTAAACCCAACAATTCGAGTTGTTTTTTTAATGTCCTATATGTAGACTGCTTTTCTTAACTTTTACTTAACTTTTTGTTAAAAATCTTTAATTAAATTTTTTCAACAACTAACAAAAAACGTCTGATTGACATGAAATTTTCCCCACAAGTAGAAGTTATCCCTAATAAACAAATACTATAAACGAACGATAACCCGGATGCGTAAACTATTCCACAAATGGTTTGGACGATACCCCGAACACGTCGTTAAGCTCCTTTTTATGGTTATTTTTATTAGGGATTACCAACTGCCTTCTGTGAAAATTTCAGCTTCATGAGTTGTGCCGTTGAATTTTAAAAAATCGTTATAGATTTATTCCACAAAAACTACAAGATACGGACGGCTGTAAGTCTCCTTAATAAAGATAAAAAAAAAGATACGGCCCTATGGGGTTGTACGAAATGGTGACGTAGACGTGGCCTTATATAATAAATGTTATTTGTTAACTGCAGCAGGAGCTTGTGTTTTATGTAGGAATAGGAATTTGAGCGGGGTTCTCTATGTTTATGCTCTTTAGTATGACTATGATTGCCCTGAAAAGAAACTTTTGATATGAATTTTAGTTTGGACATGCTCAGTGTCGCCGCCAAAAGCTACTTTCTTCTCCGGTTAGGGAGAGTCTTTCGCTTACTAGGTCAGACACTGTTTCTCGATTCTAGGAGCTACTTTTTTCTCCGGTTAAGGAGAGAAGTTTTCACTTCCAAGTCAAGAGTTCTTCTAGGAGCTACTTTTTTCTCCGGTTAAGGAGAGAAATTTTCACTTCTAGGCCGAAAGTTCTTTCGGATTCAAAAAGAGAAGAATCTGGAGTAACCTACGAAACTTAATTTTATTCAACAAAATTGTACAAAGTGATCTTACGGCTACGTGTTGCATTAGCAACTTATAATTATGTAAAACTTTTACATGATTTGTCCAGGGTTTTACATATCCCTTTCAATACCGGACTTTTGACCTAATTTTGCCTATTCTATTAGCTAGGATTTCGATCGCCCTTGAAAGGGTAAATTTGTGTTATTTGGATCTTATATATTATGCCCTCTCAGATCTGGGATTTCTCGGGTTATCTTGTAAGTTTATTTCTTTTTGTAACTCAGATCTGATATGGCTCTACAAATAAGAATGAGACATTTGTAACGTTTAAACATTATAATTATATCCTTCGTTAAGGATAAACAGAGAGGGAAAACTAAACGTAACCTAGATGCGCAAGCATGCCATGCGTGGGCGTGTTTATCCTACTTGAACGCAGAAACGTTCCTAAGTAAATACTGCAGTTAGATTATGTAAAACGAGCTCTCGCTCCTTTTGCCCTACTTTTCATTTCATATTCTTGGCCTTGGTATCAACGTCAGCTAGGGCTTTGCAAACGGGATGCAACTATGTGGTTATCTTATGGTTTTGGTTTTAAATTAATTGCCTCGCGGTAACACTCAGGAATTTAACAGTTTTGGAAAGTCTTGGTGGCACTGAAAAGGGTCGATGCTAGTACAGACTTAAAGCCTTTGGAAGAAGATGATCACGCAAATCGGACAGGACAACCCCATATTCTTCGGTTCAATGATTGAGCACTCGCAAGAGTCTCGGCCCGTCTGCTGCTAAACAGGGGTTGCACTGGTGTCTGCGACAAGTTGGATGGTCACAGAATATCAATGTCCACCAAGCTAAAGCTCCTCCCCTTTTTAGTTTTTCTGGTTAAACTCCTTCTCTCAACAAGTTGGTAAATCTTAGCCTTTAGCAGAAAGACGCAACACTTTTTTCGGTGAACTTATTACAGAAAATCTGTGAAAAATCACCGAACTATTTACCGAACGTTCAGCTGTTGAGATTTCGGTAAAATTTCACAGATTTCGG